GTCAAGCCGGCTCCGATTCATCCACTCTGATGGGTGACTGTTGTCAGTAGCTGCGGTCAAGCCGGCTCCGGTTCATCCACTCTGGTGGGTGACTGTTGCTGTCAGTAGCTGCGGTCAAGCCGGCTCCGGTTCATCCACTCTGATGGGTGACTATTGTCAGTAGCTGCGGTCAAGCCGGCTCCGGTTCATGGCGACACTACACTGCCTGGTCCTGCACTGTCTTCATGTTCTCCTGCTGGTATCTGATCTACCGGTGGCGGAGCTTCCAGTATCACAGCAACAGGTAAGCCACCACAGTAAGACAAACTGACAGGTAATGGGCTCTACTACTACTACTCCCTTAGTTGGCCTGAAGTCTAGTAAAGTGAGCTCCCCTAAGAGGACCCTCCGTTGGTACATTTTTAGCTGTACGGAGGCTAAGACAGTTCCAGCTTAAGAAGCCCTGGCGCTCGTCTGGGTTTTCATCAATGCTGTGCTGAAAGTAACTGATCTGATCTGCTTCTGGCTGGATGTTAGTCCCGATGTTTGTCTCACTGAGGATAAAGGGTGAGGCCACACAGCCTGTGAGTGACCATTTGCAGGTGTTTTCACCTTGAGAAAAAGGCAGATTCTATAACGTGGCATGCCATAGTGGAAGGTACACCTGAGACAGTAAGGAAGACTTAGGTAGTGATACAAGTTCAAGGGCAATCCCAGTGAGATGGAAAGACGGCCTTCCAGTAATGAGATTGGGACCCTAATACTCCCCAGTATGTTTTCTCCTTTTCAAAATGGGCAACTGAGAGCTTGACACTCCTAACACCATGACGAACCGGTAAGGTTTTTTTCTTTTCCTTTGCCTTCTCCTTTCCGCACACCTTTGTTAATGGCTTTGTTTTGCTCTGTCCGGCCACCTGTGGCTTACAACCCCCCACAGGAAGAGCAGCACCCAGATATCTGACATTATGTCTTTAGCCTGATAAGGAGATGTCCAGCATGTATCTCTTTAGTATGATAAAGAGTTTCTTGTAATTACCTTGTAATGAATAACTCATTCGGCCATGCCATCTGCAGGCTACGAAGACACTTCTAACCTTTGTAAAAAGCATATATAAGCTCTAATGTAAAAATGACTTTCGGGACTCCACAGAGATAGCCTGCATTGCTGTCGGATCCCCATTGGTGACCATCTCCTAAATAAATTTTCTCACTCTTTCTGACTTGAAGTACATTTCATTGGCTCGACTGCTCCAGGGCACAGACCCTAATCGGGCAATGAGATGGGCCATGAGGACAGATTGCGATCTATGGCTTCCCAAAACAACCATCCAAGTAAACCAGATATATGGAGCAAATAAAGGCTATTATCCTCAAGTTTTGAAGTCTTATTAAACATTACATCCTGGACTCAGTTTTGCTACGATCTGTGTCCGTGTTAAGCCAGGTAGGAAATGAGAGAGCGGTGCCCTCTGAGTCCAGTTCTGGCATCATGATGTCCAGCCACCCACCTCACATGAAGAGTCTCCCTCCACTGCCCAAGTGTGGATGATAAGCGTGTCATTTCATTGGTGGAAGCTTGTCACAGCCTCTCTTCAGACCTGTGAGTGCATACTGGGAAGGACAAACCTCATGGGACAGCAGCCAGCCATCACTAGACTCTACACTAAAAGCCTAAAAGTAGGTCTCAGAGGCCAGGCTGAAAGGATGGCACAAACTTACCAGTATCGGCTTCTCCTCTTAAGACGATGACGTCTGATTTGGAGGACAAGGACGTGTCCAAAGACCCAAGGGCATTTCTCTCATCCTTATCATCAGTTTTTAAAATCTCATACATGCATCTTTCCCCAATTTATAAGAAATTAAGTCAAAAAATATGAAGCTAGTCTCAAATTATAAAGTAATCCAGGCTCTATCAAATTTCAGTGTTATGCCAAACAAAAAGCTGAGGAATCACACTGTCCTCATCTGTAAACGTATCTTTAGCCCAGGGCACTGTACCAAAACAGCCTTGTATTCTATACCGTCATCAGACACACAGCTTGGCTGCTCACCAAAAGATTGGCAGTTCAAATCCACCAGCCGCTCCTTAGAAACCCTACGGGGCAGTTCTACTCTGTCCTAAAAGGTCACTATGAGTCAGAAGTGACTTGACAGCAATGGGTTTGGCTTGGTTTTTTTTTTTTTTTTTTTTTTTTTAATATACTATAAGAAGCCCTGGTGGTGCAGTAGTTAAGAGCTCGGCTGCTAACCAAAAGGTGTTCAGTTTGAATCCACCAGCCAGTCCTTGGAAACCCTATGGGGCAGTTCTACTCTGTCCTATAGGGTCATTATGAGTCGTAATCAACTCGATGGCAATGGGTTTGCTTTTCCTGTTATGATCTGCTTGTTAACGATTTTCCTGCTAATTGAAACCTCCACTTGAAGGTGACTAGGAAAACTCAAAGGAGCTCTGGTGGGGCAGTGGTTAAGCACTCGGCTGATAACCAAAAGGTCGGCAGTTGAAACCCACCAGCCGTTCTGCGGGAGAAAGATGTGGCGGTCTGCTTCTATAAAGATTACAGCCTTGGAAACTCCGTGGCAGTTCTACTCTGTCCTCTAGGGTCACCGTGAGTCAGAATAGACATGATGGTAGTAGGTTTTTTAGGAAAGCTGACATAAAAAGAAACGTATTTGTTAATTCTGATGTTTGTTAGCTCTATTAAAAGATCCACTGAAGAACCTAGTTGAAATTATTATCCAAAATAAAATTAATAAATAATCAATTTAATTCTATTTCAATTTACTTTATTTTTGACCAATGAAGTATACTCATACTATGAAACCTGCTATACAACTAATATAATATGATAAATATATAAATGGCCACGTTTTTGGCAACAGTTTTTTCCCCTGTAGTATAAATTACACTGAAAAATAAGATCCTTAAGACAAACTATATCAACACACTTACATAACACCCTTAAACCTTGCTTTTGCGTACAAACTGGACTCCCGCTATTCAGCCTGCAGCTCTGGCAACCAGTTCACATTAGGCAAAATTAACATTCTTTCTTCAGCGTTCCCATAGCATCATGTATGTATCTCAATTACTGCATTTATCACACGGCACTGTAATTATTTGTTTACATGCCTGTCTTTCCCACTATACTTAGCTCTTTGTGTTAGAAACATCCCAGTCGTATGTATAACTTCAGGACCTAGCACCGCCTTTGCACATGGAGACACTCCTGGAAGTTTGCTGAATTGAGTTATAAAGAGTTGGGAGCACTTCCGTTACCCCTAAACCATTCAGCTTTTAAATCATCATGAACTAGGATTAATTCTTTCTTACCCATGCTATTCCAGTCCCTGAAAGAGAAGGTAGCAAATACACGCAGTCCAAAGCACAAATACGTAATCTACATTCCCTCATATGGTTAAACTAGGTGAACACTAAAATCAGCTGACTTGCATAAAGCATACACAAATAGAAGGCAATGCCAAGATAATGACAGCGCAGCCTTTGGATTATCTTTTTTGGTCCTTTTTTCAAAAAATAAATGCATCTAACCCATAGTCATTTATCAGATGCTCATGGATTTGGAATGACTAAATTTAGCTAATCTCCATGCCTCAAGAATGAATTGGGATGAGGGCACACAGAGCAAAAGGCTTCCCAGGACACGTTCACAAATTCCTGCTATCTGCTGGTTCAACAATAGTGCCAAGTAAAACATCAATTCCAGGGTCCAAGCTGGGGCCATCGGTGACTTGAAATGGAAAGTCTACTTCAGCCTACATTCTTAGAAACAACCAGTGAACCAAAATAAATACATAGATAATCAATTCTTAAATAGCTACAGTAAGCTAGAACAAAGATTCCATGGCTAACTGACAGAAGTATTTGAAAATACTCGTGTTACTCAAAAGTCGAGTAAACAACTAACCAAAATTTCTATCACACCAAGCTAATGTGTAATAACACAGATTTGAGTTTTATCACCTTTTTAGAACTCTCCTCACTAATCCAGGCAAAAATGATGCAAATAATGTAACAGTAAAACTGAAGAAATCTGAAGACTCTAGATATTTTAGAAAGACCAAATTAGCAAAAGAACAAAAAGACTTAAAACCTGTAATGATATAAAAAGAAATCTGAAGGGCATTACCTTGCAGCTTCCCTTAGCTGGAAATCAAAAGATCAGGCTTTTAGTAACAGTCCTGCCATATCTAGCGGGGTGATCTGGGACAAGTCTTTCTGTCTCCTAGGTCCCCATTTTCTAAACTGCAGAAATGAGAGGAAGACATCACCTCTATGATCCTCTCCACCTTTAAGATTCCATCATTAATGGAACACCTAAAAATAAAGATTTTATGTAAAATATTTTTTTTTTTAGTCACCAGTTCATTATTTCACTCTTTTCATAATCATTTTAGAACTATTCTATCTAGATGTCAAGCAATGAGTACCGATTAAAAGACTAGCTAATGGCTTCCTTCTCTATAAACAATCATAATGATAATGCTATTTAATAAGAAGTTTACACTGACCTGGAGCAACTACATTGACTCTGATTTTCTTTCTCGCTACCTCTTTGGCAAGAGCACGTGAAAATCCAACCAATCCTCCTTTGCTGGCACTGTACACTGACTGGCCAGAATTGCCTTTTAAACCAACAATACTTCCTAGGGGGGAAAGAAAAAAACAAAGTAAAATACCAACAAATTTATGAGGTTGTTTGAAAATTCGGATAATTTATACTAAAGAAACAAATAAAAAAAGTAAAACCATTTTACACTGTCCTTTGCTAAAATCAGAAATTCTAACCATTGTCATTTGGATCGTAAGACACAGAGCTCGAGTCTGTTCCAGATACACACAGACAACAGGATCTGAAAGACGTGGTGTGACAGCTCAGATGCCAGGCAGGGGGCTGAGATGTCGCTCTTTAAGTGAAAGAGGAGGAGGTCAGATACAATAAAAATTCTGTAATGTTTATAAAGGCTTCCAGCAGGAAGAGGTCAAGAACCAGAAAAGTCAAACAGAAGTTAAGTCATTTTATGATTCTACAATACAGAATAAGGAAGTGTTCACTTCCACTTAAAAAAAAAAAAGTTCATTTGAAGATAAATCTCATTAAATTTGAACTACAGTCAATCTAAATTAGCAAAGCTTCAATTATAAAACCTTCTTGTAAAACTGCAGTTCAGTTACTTTCAGTGATATAACTTGTGTTGCCCAGTAAAGATAACTGGACAGCCTCGTGTAACAAACATGTAAGAATAATTTGTAATTCAAATATCAACAGTACGCAAATAAATTCTTGCAAAACAAAAGTGAGGAAGTAATTTTCTGCACCACTGACCTGTACCTATGACATAAAAATTAAAGAAGAACTTCACAAAATCCTTTAAAAAGTAATTTTATTTTAGAAAAAGAAAACATCCCAAACACTTTTTATGTTATAACCAATAGCTCAATATTAAGATTTTTAGAAAAAGAAAACTTTTTATACTAAAACCAATAGCCCAATATTAAGATATTTATCTACATTATAATATATTACAGCTAGTTAGTGACAAAGGACGAGAACTTTGAAAGATCGAAAAAGAGAAAAGAGACACCAGACGGAGGAAATGCAGATGAACAGAGAAAGGGGTATTTGGGAGAAAGAGCAATACAGACAGACAGAAAAAGGAAAGAAAAATATGGAAGAAATGCCAAACAGGAAGCTTTCGTGGCTTCTGATGTACGCTATACACGATTGTTCATCTGGTCAAAAACTTACTAAAGTAAATGATAATCTCTGAAATTTCAATGAACTTTCTAGCAGTTTAAAGTAGTCCTTTTAATAATAAGATTCTCTTAGTTTATTTTCAATTATCCATTTTTATTTTTGTGTATTAGAATTCTAAAAGGTGTGTAGGTGGGTGTGTGTGTGTATGAAGGAATGACCTGTGTTTTTGGAGGATTGTTTTGTTTTTTAATAAACCTAAAAACGGGATATTTCAGAGTTAAAGAAATATACCTCACCTTATTAGGTTATACATACTGGTCAGTGTGCCAACTTACAAGAACCAAAAGTTATTATCCAGCTGGGTTACCCGTAGGGCTACTCATTTAATAATCTCTTTCAAAGGTAGAAAAATTGATTCTTTATATTTTTGAAGGATAAATGTCAAAAGTGATCTTTTTAAATTCCCCCCTTAGTTTATTAGCACAGTACACTTTTATTTTCAAAAGAGAAAAGCCCTGAATTCTGGGTTGGAAGGCCATTTCCAATATTAAAAGGAACAAGGTCATTTACTTTAATGGCGCATCATCCTCTTTTTGTGGCCTTTTAAGGTATTACCACTTGAAATTAAAAGGCAGAGGATATATCACTGTGTTCAAACTACCAAACTGAAACACAATTTCAAGTTACTTTGCATTTCAAAACCTGCAGGTACATACGACTTAATTTATCTTCCCGTGGGAAAAATGACCTGAAGACCAGGGGTTACCAACGGCCATTCTTAAAAAAACTCAAACTTTTCTTAAGTTTTTTTAAAAATTTTTCTTGGGGGTGAAAATATACACAGCAAAGGATGCACGGTTTCAACAAATTCTACATGTACAATTCGATGACACTGTTTACATTCTTCAAGTTCTGTAACCGGTCCCACTATCCTTTTCCAAATTATTCCACTACCATTAACATAAACTCACTGCTCCCTAAGCTTCTCATCTAACCCACTGAGATGCTTCCGTCAATTTGAACCGTGAAGACGTGATGTTGAATGAAACAAGTCTATCACAAAAAGGACAAATACTGTATGCCCTCACTTACATAAAACGACAAGTACAGGCAAGTACACAGACACCAAAGTTTACTGGTGGTTACCAAGGGCAGGAAGGAGCCCTGGTGGCACAGCCGATAAGCACTCAGCTGCTAACCGAAAGGTCAGTAGTTAGAACCCACCAGCCCCTCCGTGGGAGAAACATGCGGCAGTCTGCTTCCGTAAAGATTAGAGCCTTGGAAACCCCATGGGGCAGTTCTTCTCTGTCCTGTAGGGTCACTATGAGTTGGAATCGACTAGGCAGTGGGTTTTGGGTTACCAAGGGCAGGAGGCAAGCCAATGAATTTGGGAAGCAGTGGTTTCTGTGTGTGGGGATGGGAAATTTGGCACAGATTAAGGGTAAGGGGTGCACACCTATTAATGTAAGTCATGTCACTAAGCTGTGCATCTGGAAAATGTCGAATTGACACATGCTGTGTAATACATATTTTCTTAAATTATTTTAAACTTATTGTTAAACCTCTGCAGTAGATTTATCAGTGACCCCTGCGATTGCTGTAATTTTTTAGTCCCTGGTATATAAAAACTTTTAATTCCTTGCCCATATTTTAAAAATTAGGTTTCACATAAAACTCAAGATGTCCAATTTCTCTTAGAATCTAATTAGGTGGAAAAACTAGGACCACATTCCTGCATAGGAACAATCTACTGGATCTGAGCAGTGGTTGCCCTGCCATGCCATACCGCTTCTGCACAACAAGGCTGAACGTCTTCTGCCATCTATCACGTGGCTTGTGCTGTCATTTCTCCAATACCTGGTGGCTTTGCTCATTTAACACCTACCCAGCTTCTACAGGCATGAGTTTTTGATTCCTGCTTTACCCATTAATCAGTTCATTAAATCCTTTTTTCCAAAGACAAGACAAAGATAAATTTCACCCCAGTTATATACACAAATTAATTCTAGATTATGGATTATATATTTTTATGGTGCTATGAGATAATTAGGAGTCCCCTTGTGGTACAAAGAGTTAAGCCAAAAGGTTGGCAGTTCAAATCCACCCCGAGGCACCTCGGAAGAAAAGCCTGGAGATCTGCTTCCGAAACACCAGAACCTTGAAAACCCTATGGGACACAGTTCTCCTCTGACACACACGGGATCACCGAGAGTCAAAACTGACTCGACAGCACCTGACCCCCACCACCTCAACCCGAGATGATTATAAACCCACACAGGTAAAGACTCACCTACATTAACAATAGACCCTCGTTGTTGCTGAACCATCGTCTTCACAGCAGCTTTGCATGTCAGCATGGAACCCAAGAGGTTAGTATGGAGCTGAGCTATCATGTCTTCAGTTTTAGTTCTCACCAAAAGGCTATCCCTAAAAACAAAACAAAACAAATAAAAAACAGCATGTAACTTAAAAGATGGATAAAACAAAGTCAAAAATCATATTCTACTGAAAGGAGAGTGCAAGAAGTGCTTCGTATGTGAGATTTAATACCTAGAATTAGAGTCTCAACTTCGCTCGAGAGGCAAAAGTAACAATAGTAAGCCAGGTTCTTAATCCCTTTTATCTGGAGGGGCAAATATTCCTAACTGCAACAAGTAGTGCCACGTAGCCAAATAGCTAGAATGATCTGAGTAATTGCCACGCTATACCTTGTTTAACAAAATCACTTCTGTCCTAAGTTCATCTTTAAAAGGTATATTCACTCTGTGATTCCATCCGTATGAAGTTCATGAACCAGCAAAACTTACTTATGGTGGTAGAAATCAGAATAGTGGCACCTTTCAGGATATAGTTCTAGATGTATCCTGAAGCACAATGCTGTTGGTGACAAGATAATATCCACGTGCCTAAAAGGAAGATCAGCCAACGCAACTATGATTCAGATCTACGCACCAACCACTAAGGCCAGAGATTTTTACCAACTTCCGCAGTCTGAAATTGATCAGACATGCAATTAAGATGCATTGATAATTACTGGTGATTGGAATGTGAAAGTTGGAAACTAAGAAGATCAGTAGTTGGAAAACACAGCCTTAGTGATAGAAACAACACCAGAGATTGCATGACAGAATTCTGTAAGACCAACGACTTACTCATTGGAAATACCTTTCTTCAACAACATAAACACATGGACCCTGCCAGATGGATTACACAAGAATCAAATTGACTACATCTGCAGAAACCGACGATGGAAAAGTTCAATATCATCTGTCAGAACAAGGCCAGGGGCCGACTGCAGAGCAGATCATCAACTGCTCATATGCAAGTTCAATTTGAAGCTCAAGAAAATTAAAACAAGTCCACTACAGCCAAAGTACAACCTTGAGTATATCCCACCTGAATTTGGAGACCATTTCAAGAATAGATTTCATGCACTCAACACTAACGACCAAAGACCAGATGAGTTGTGGGGAGACATCAAGGACATCATATGTGAAGAAAGAAAAAGGTTATTTAAAAGACAGGAAAGAAAGATAAGACCAAAATGGATATCAGAAGAGACTCTGAAACTTGCTCTTGCTCAACTACTTTGGACATGTTATCAGGAGGGGCCAGTCCCTGCAGAAGGACATCATGCTTGGTAAAGCAGAGGATCAGTGAAAAAGAGAAAGATCCTCAAAGAGATGGACTGACACAGTGGCTGCAACAATGGGCTCAAACAAAGCAATGATTGTGAGGATGGTGCAGGACCAGGCAGTGTTTCATTCTGTTGTACAGAGAGTCACTGTGAGTCGGAAGCAACTCGACAGGACCGTGAATGCAGAGTAGCTAAAGCGAACAGAAGAAATGATAAAGTCAAAGAGCTGAACAGAAGATTTCAAGGGCGGCTCAAGAAGACAAAGTAGAGTATTATAATCAAATGTGCAAAGACCTGGAAAACCAAAAGGGAAGAACATGCTCGGCATTTCTCAAGCTGAAAGAACTGAAGAAAAAATTCAAGCCTTAAGCTGTAATACTGAAGGATTCTATGGGCAAAATATTGAACAATGCAGGAAGTATTAAAAGATGGAAAGAATACAAAGAGTCACTGTACCAAAAAGAATTGGTCGACGTTCAGCCATTTCAGGAGGTTGCATATGATCAAGAATCGACGGTACCGAAGGAAGAGGTCCAAGCTGCGCTGAAGGCACAGGGAAAAAACAAGCCTCCAGGAAGTGACAGAACACTGATTCAACAAACAGATGCAACAGTGGGAGCTCTCACTTGTCTATGCCAAGAAAACTGGAAGACAGCTACCTGGCCAACTGACTGGAAGAGATCCATATACAAGCCCATTCCGAAGAAAAGTGATCCAAAAGAATGTGGAAATAATTGAACAATATCAAAATCACACACAAGTAAAATGTTGCTGAAGATCATTCAAAAACGGTTGCAGCTGTACATCCACAGGGAACTGCCAGAAAGTGAAGACGGATTCATCAGGTCGTGGAACGAGGAATACCATTGCTGATGTCAGATGGATCCTGGCTGAAAGCACAGAATACCAGAAAGATATTTACCTGTGTTTTATTGACTATGCAAAGGCATTTGACACTATGAATCATAAGAAATCATGGATAACATTGTGAAGAATGAGAATTACAGAACACTTAATTGTGCTCATGTGGAACGATTTCTTCCATCTGCTTTAGCTACATAGACCAACAGGCAGTTGTTCGAACACAACAAGGGGATATTGTGTGGTTTAAAATCAGAAATGATGTGCTGCAGGGTCGTATCCTTTCACCATACTTAATCTATAAACTGAGCAAATAATCCGAGAAGTTGAACTATATGAAGAACTCATTAAGAACCCACAATATGCAGATGACACCACCTTGCTTGCTAAAAGTGAAGAGGACGTGAAGCACTTACCGATGACGATCAAAGACCACAGCCTTCAGTATGGATTACACCTCAACACAAAGAAAAGAAAAATCCTCACAACTGGACCAATAAACAACATCATGAGAAACGGAAGGACTGAAGTTGTTAAGGATTTCATTTTACTTGAATCCACAATCCATGCCCATGGAAGCAGCAGTCAAGACATCAAAAGATGCATTGCATTGGGCAAATCTACTGCAAAAGACCTCTTTTAAGTGTTAAAAAGCAATGAGGTCGCTTTGAGGACTAAGGTGCACCTGACTGAAGCCATGATATTTTCAATTACCTCATATGCATGTGAAAGCTGGACAATGACTAAGGGAGACTGAAGGAAAATTGATGCCTTTGAATTAATGGTGTTGGTGAAGAGTATTAAATATACCACAGACTGCAAGAAGGATGAACAAATCTGTTCTGAAAGAAGTACAGCCAGAATGTGCCTTAGAAGCGAGGATGGCGAGACTTCGTCTTACATGCTTTGGACATGTTGTCAGTAGGGACCAGTCCCTGGAGAAGGACATCATGCTTGGTAAGGCAGAGGGTCAGTGAAAAAGAGGAAGACCCTCCACGAGATGGACTGACACAGTGGCTGCAACAATGGGTTCACAAACAGCAAGGACTGTGAGGACGGCACAGGACCTGGCACTGTTTTGTTTTCTTCCAGTGGGAAGTAAATATTTTAGTATATTAATTCACACTAATCAAAAACATATTATAAACTTACTTAAATCGGTGACCAACCTGTTAATACCAGCTGCATTTACCAAGAAGTTAACTCGACCTAAATGTTTCTCTATCTCTTCGAATGTACTCTGAACATCATGTTCTTTGGCGACATCACAGCTAAATGCCAAATGACCACCTACACAAAGTGAGAGGAGAGTTATTTATAAATTATTTCTGGAATTAATAATTTATTGAATACACATGTTAAGTATCTACTATATACTAGGCCCATGCTAATCCAGACCCAAGAGAAAAAAGATGAGTAAATAATGAGTTCCTGTTCTCCTGAAATTTAGTGTAAGCAAACTGGGATGGCCAGGGGAGGAACAGGAAGAAATAAAATACTATTACATAAAGTGAACCTTAAAACTTTCCCATAGTGGGGAGGGAGGCTTTTTTCCCGTTCATAATGCTTTCTAAAAGTCATTTAATATTTGTAGCTTTGACACTGATTCCATTCTACCCAACTGAATAGTCTTTTTTCCCTTCCTCAGAACAGCACAACGGCAATGAATACAGTATGCAGCGTTCACTGACATTCTTCCTGGTCTATAACTTGCTTTTGTTGTTGTCTTTTCGAGAACCCAATAGTCTTCCATCCAGAGTAAACAATCAGGCTAAATTAGTAACACCAAAACAAACGGTAATGTTATTTCCAAGGTTATAGCTATGAGATGTACCCCAAGGCCTCTATTTTGTCCATTCCAATACAGCTTCTTAGTACCTTTCAAAAGCCCTATTTCCCCCTAACCATCAAGAGAGACTTAAATTAGCAAAACATGCAAAATAATGACTAATCCATTATTAATAAGCAGAGGAAAAAATGGGGTTTAAATAGAGTAAAAAGGAATTTGACAGAGCCAACTTCAATTGCCCATTCGCAAAATTCACCAAACAATTTAGTAACTTATTGAGTGTTTGTGGATGTAGTAAAGCCAGTCTGGTAAATCCCCAAAGTGGCTGGTAATGAAAAGGATTTCTCTTTGAAACAGCGCGTCTTGCATCCGCACAGGGGCAGGAACTGCCCTCAGCAGAGCTGAAGGGAACCGTTTGTGTCCCCGCCACGCCTACTTTCCTGCCTGAACTCCTTTCCGCCCAGCCGCCCGGGGCGCCCTTTGCCCTGCAGAAAGCTAACTGTCGTGTGACTCGCTCCTACCACATGACCAAACAAAGCAGCCCCTCACGGTTAGCCCTGGCCGCAGGAGGTGAGTGCGTGCACATTCATGGGCCCCGCCAGACTGCCCCAGTGTTGAGCCCTCCCACGGGCAGCGTGACGGCTTGTTGTGCCGGGCGCCGGGTGGGTGGTGCGGGGTTTCTGCGCACGCCGCAGCCTGCACTAGGGACGGACTCTGCCTCGCTCAACGGCCAAACCTCAGTGCCATCGGGGCCACACCCGCTCGGTTTACACACGGAGAGACTCCAGGTGCCTGGAACGCAGCCGCACAAATGGACAACTGCAGTTCGGTACCTACCGCCGAGCTCCCCGGCGGCGGCTTTGGCCACTTCCAGATTCCTGGCGACAATCGCCAGTCGGTAGCCTTTCTGGGCCAGTAACTGGGCCACCGCCCTGCCAATGCCCCGGGAACCTCCAAAAATGGCACAGACTTTGGCCATCTTGGAGACCTCGAAATCGCAAACTCGGAAGAAAGAGGGCTGGGAATGGCGGCCCTTTCCAGGTTCCTCGCGTTCTTACACCACTGCGGCGCCAAGGGAAACCAAAGCGCCACACAAACACCCCGCTCCGCGCCTCCTCCTGTCGCCTGACTCTGGCAATCCAGGTGGACGCGAAGAGAAGCGAGACGTATGGCGTCATCGCGCTGACGCAAAGCCTACGGACTCCCAGGCGTCGAGTCCGAGAAGACGCAAGCGAGGGACACCGGTCAGCCAATGGCTGCACGGAAGGGCTGCGCTGCATGCTGGGACTTGTAGTCTTGAGGCAGACGGGAGGAGGCGCGGGCGCGCTGCTCAGTGGGAAATGTAGTCATGGTGTGGAGAGTTGGGGTTGGCGCTCCGGTCACCAACGCTTCGGATTTGCCTAGGTCTGAGAGAGTTTTTTTTGGTTGGAGGGAGTGGTAGGGCCCCCGGTGGCGCAATGGTTAAAGCGCTTGGCTTTAACCAGCAGACAGGCTGGCAGTTGGAACCCACTAGCCGCTCTGCGGAAGAAAGATGTGACAGTCGGCTTCCGTAAAGATGTACAGCCTTGGCAACCCTGTGGGTGGGGAGTTCTACCATGTCTTGCAGAGACTCTATGAGTTGGACTCAACCAGGGCAGCCGGAGAGAGTTGTTGAGATGTAGGACTTTCGATTTTAAAGCCAGGACAGTGTGCAGCAAACCAAGACGAGTTGCTCACCTTGGTCAGAGCCCAACTCTACGTTGTTGGGCGTGGGCATGTCGGACCTTCAGTGTCTGCCTTTCACTCGGATTTTGTCTTTGGATGAAAACTTGGTGTCCCGCCTGTTGTAGGAGTGGTCCCTAAGTATCCGACTCTCGACAAAACCTACCCTACCATCCCCAAGTTGCTGCAGACTGGGCCTGGCCCTGCCAGGACCTTACCGTTCATCTCAAACGGTGTTTCGAAGATGGACTGACTCTCTGTCAAAGAACACCATGTGGGAGGAGCTCAATACATCATTGAATGACTGAATGGTCTTGCAAGGATTAAACAAATGTAGGCTGCTGTAGACAAATAAAAATGGGTTCCTGCAGTGCTCTGTGGATTAATTAGCTAAAACTGAGCATTTATTACAAAAAGGAAGCATTTCTTGATACAAAATCGTTGCATTCGATGATTCAGAAAAGCATGAATCATGGTCCCTACCATTAAAAACCATCACCCATGTGTAAGTTTTTCGTACCACGGTGCCTTTCATGTTGCTATAATCCTGGAAGCTATGCCACCAATATTTCAAATACTGCAGGGTCACCCATGGTGGACTGGTTTTAGCAGAGCTTCCAGACTAAGACAGACTAGAAAGAAAGGTCTGGCAATCTACTTCTGAAAATTAGCCAATGAAAACATTATGGATCATACTAAAATATTATCTGATGTAGTGCTGGAAGATGAGCCCCCTAGCATGGAAGGCACTCAAAACACACAGTGGCCACAACAGTGGACTAGAGCAGACCAATGATCATGGAGATGGCACAGAACCGGCAATGTTTTGTTCTATTGTACATCAGGTCACTGTGAGTCGAAGGCAACTGGACAGCAAGTAACAACACCACCTCTGAAAAATACATAACCTGGGACAACAGGACTAATACACGTGAAACCCTAACAAGTAGTTCAAAATCTTATTTGATAAAGTGCAACATTTTATTAACACAAGAACTCAGAGAAAAAGGAGGTCAACGAAGAGTGACGGGGTGCATGGGAAAGGTGGGCTTGAGGGCTGGGTGAGGTTTAAATAAAAAGAGGGGAAGAATAAAAGGCTGTAAGCAAATTGAATAGTATTTTTAAAAAATGTTTATTCCACCTAAATCCAAAAGGGATTTGAAATGGCTTGCAAAAATACATGATTAAATTATTTTAAAAGGCAAAGAGGACCAACCCACTCCCAAGGCCAGAACAATAAAGCGAGGCCAATTGAAAGTTAATACAAATAAAGCCATGTCATAAGAATCTATTCAGTGCTAAAGAAGAGATGCATGGGTGATTCCAAGTTTCCTAGTGGCCAAAGCAGCCAAAACCAAAACCAAACCCATTGCCATCGAGTCAATTCCAACTCATAGCGATCCTACAGGACACAGTAGAACTGCCCCATAGTTTCCAGCGAGCAGCTGGGGGATTTGAACTGCCGACCTTTTGGTGAGCAGCTGAGCTCTTAACCACTGCACCACCAGGGCTCCAAAGTATCCAAGGGAAACTAATTCGTTACTATAGTAATTTCTATAAGAAACAAACACACTGGTTGTGCAGCAGAGAGGTGTAGGCGAAGGTTCCTCCGTGAATTCTCATAAAGGGCAAACAAAGCATTATAATGGACAATGCTCTTTGGGGGGAAAAAACACTGTAAGGCTGTTTTTTCAGCATCTATTATTGTAAGCAGAGGACACGACGCCAAATCGGACTTTATTAAAAGCAAATACAGTAGGAAGTTACATAATATAAACCAACGTTCAGACACAAGCATGAGTGTTTTGTATACCTGAAACAATGAGGAGAGAAGCCTCGTTACAGGCCAGTTGGAATGGTGACTGATTACGGCAGGCTTGAAAGCCAGATGCAGGCAGCGAGCAGCCAGGTGCTATAGGCCTTTATCCCCAGAAGTAACACGATAAAAGCTACATTTAAGAACAATTAGTCTAGTAGGCACATCAGGATGGGGTGGAGCAAATATGTCTAATCCCCTCTCCCACTATACACCCGTATGCAGTCTTGGAAAGGAACAGCTGTTTTCGACAAATTATCAGTATATACCAAAAACCAAATCCGTTGCCAACAAGTGGATTCTGATTCATAAATACCCTATAGGACACAGTAAAACCACCCATAGGGTTTCCAAGACTGTGAATCTTTACAGAAGCAGACTGCCACATCTTTCTCTCTAGGAGCAGCTGGTGGGTTCGAACAGCTGACCTTTCAGTTAGCAGTCGAGCGCTTAAGCTACCAGGGCTTCTCATTATCAGTATATAAACCAAACCTAACCTGTTACTGTCGAGTCGATTCTGACCCATAGTGACCCTACAGGACAGAGTAGAACTGCCCCCATAGGGTTTCCAAGGAGCGGCTGGTGGATTTGAACTACCGACCTTTTGGTTAGCAGGCTAGCTCTTAACTACTGGGCCACAATATGTAAGTCTGTGTAAATGCCCATTGTCTTCCTGGCTTCCAACATCTTAGGGTAAACCAGAAAAGTTCAATTTTTGTGGACAATTCTGTCAATTACATAGGAAAAGGGTTATATATTTTTTTCTGTGCACTGTTATTTCAGCAAAAAACATGTTCTTTAGGTCGATTCCATCCATCACAAACATCATTAACGCATGATGTGAAGTTGCATTCAAAATTCTCAAAACCTTCCAATTTTCCTTACTCTGTAGGCACAGTAAATGGTTACGTTGAGCTTTTCTGTAGCTAGATACTTCACTTTAAACCCCAAGGCTATTATTTGTTTTTTTCCCTCTTAATACAGTATCACCACTATCCTGGGTGAGATACATCCGTCACAACCTATCAGCCATTAGCTGGGAGGGTGATTGGCAGGGGCAGTTTCTCCTTAACCCCTTGATAGGGAGGTGACGTTCTGTAAATTAATCTGGTCTCCCTTCCCAGCGGAAATGCTGGTGGTGCAGTGGTTAAGCATTTGGCTGGTAACCAAAATGTCGGCCGTTTAGATCCACCAGCTGCGCGTTGGAAACCCTATGCGGCAGTTCTGCTCTGTGTTACAGACTTGGTATGTGTCAGAATCGACTTGACGGCAGCGAGTTTTTCTTACCTAGCAGCACACTGGAGAAAGCTATTAAGACAACTCACCTTTAGTCTTTTCTTCTCACTAAACTTGTCACTTTTTGTGATACTATTTTCACCACATTTTCGTTTTCATTAATTTAAACCCAGATAAGTATGTATTTTCTCTTTGCTTCTATAATCAGAGGAACACTCCCCCCGCAAAAAAAATTCCTTATGCACCAGGACTGATATACAAATTTTTAAACGTACGTACTTTTTTTTTTCTGATTACAAAAGAAATACCATTAAATTTTAAAAAGAAAAAGAAAAAACAAATGTTTTTAAAAGTAAATAAAAAATGTATTGGAAGCATTGCACACTTTAAATAGGTGAATTGTATGGCATGTGAATTATATCTTAATAAGCCAATTATAAAAAAATTCATTGAAAGTCCACTGCTCTGTTATATTAAGTTTGAAATGCAACTAATTGTAAGTGGATTGTGCCCTTCACAGATATTTTTATATCTGTGTTAAGCTTTATAATACACAAGGATCCTACTACCAAAGAAAATTTCTGTGTAAGCAATTCAATATTTATTAAAAGTCCGCTTTACACAAAGCCTACACATTAGCAGGTCTGTAATGGAATTCTCACCTTCCTGCCAAGCACAGGCTCTCCCAGGATCCTTTAGGCAGTAACGAGTAACTTGCTGTACCCGGACTGCATGCGCCAACCTACCTTCTTAAAATAGTCCATGCTCCTATTTCACGAAGAAAGACTCGGAAGCTGCCTCGGTGTTTCTGCACAGATATAACATTTTTGTGATTAAAAAGCAGCATTGTTTTCTTATTAACATTCTTCGACCTAATCTGCTAGGTAATGTAAGTTGTAAGAAAATCGCATTTTATCATTTACAAAAGATTATTTCATTTTAAATGAAAAAATAGATATGGTCCATAAACACTTTTATTTTATTGCATTGGCATTCCAGGGGCTTTGAACCGGTTCGGTCCGGTTCAAACCCCTGCTGAGAATGTGCATTTCTAACAAGTTCCCAGAAGATGCTAAAGCTGCTGGTCAGGGACCGGTTCTGAGATCCACTGGTTAAGCAGTGGTTCTCAATTTTTATGATACCTAAGAGTCCCCTGGGGATCTTGTTAAAATGTAGATTATCAGTATATCTGGGGGTGGAAATGCAAATTCTCAGCAGGGTTTGAACCGGAACAAACCGGTTTGAAGCCCTGTAGTGTTCATGCCACGGAGGTTGCCCTGGGGAGACCTAAACATGGCACCATCACTACTCAGTTGCTTAAGGCAGAAGCCTGGAGTTTATCCTCACCTCTTTCTCTCATTCACCCCACATCCAATCAGC